CGATCACTAGCCCGGCCAGCTCTGTCCTCTGCACAGGTCTCCGGCACCTGTAACCTTTTCTGAGGGAAACCCCACCCATCCTTCGGGACCTCCTGCGTGTCCTTCCCACAAGAGCTTCTCTGACTTCCTGTAAATTGCTGTGGCTCCTCATGCCTCCAAAACGCTGCTTTCTTCCTTTCCCTCCCTTCACGGCAGCCTTCCCCTTCTCCCAAGGGGTAGATGGTTAGCCCCTCGAGGGCAGAGATGTGTCTCCTCACTGCTGCACCCCCTAATGGGCTAGCACAGTGCCTCACTTATTGGAGACCCACAATTGCTATCTGTGAAGAAAATCCCACGTTTCCTATGGAAAGTAAGTGTAAAAGCAGATGAAGTCATTCTTGGCTCAGGTTGTTTAAAAAGTGGGCCTCAGCTCACTCCAAACACTGTTTCGCCCCCTTTCAGCAAGTCACCAATGGCCAGAGAACCACTCAGCCGGGGGATGCAGTCCAGAGCGCTAACAGTCACGGCAGGAGTCAAGCTGCAGACAGGCGGCGCTGCCCTGCTTCCAGGGTGGGGAACATTCACCCGCCCAGACCCAGGGGCAGCCACAGGGACCACCAGGCTGACCAGTGTCCGGGTCCCGGTGGGATTGACGGCCCGAAGCGTGGTTTCTAAGCTAGGCAGGGGGCTCATTTATGTCTCTCAGGGGACACAAGCCCGTGTGGCGTGGGTGGGCCCCTGTCTCCATGAGGAATGAGCACGAGGGAGGTACACGAACGTGTGTGCACTTGTGCATACGTGTGCAAGTGTGTGTGTGACAAGCATGTGTGGCATGTTGCCAATAAGAGATGGAAAGTGCTCCCAGGCATCAGGCACACTAGATAACATGCAAAATCTAGGGGTGTTTTGTTTCATTTGTTCCTGGACTTTTCATTTTTAAGTAAATTCTTAAGCTGTCCACATGCTAATTAAAGCATAACTAAAATTATTTAATATTCTACACTGCATTTTAAGTGTTCAAAGAGGACTGAGGCCTATCTCATTGCTAAAACTTGTGAGAAAAAATCAAGTTTTTGAAAATATCTGGATTCGGTTAGATCCCCGGCCACCAGAGGAGGGTCCCACATGGCGCGCAGACCTCTCCTGCCGCCCGCTGCTCCCCTCAGCAGTGTACTTCGGTCCTTCTGCCTGTTCTGCTCCCCGCTCTGGCTCTGGTGAATTCTCTCACCCTCCCGGCTTCTGACTGTACCCAGTGCATGTATAAACCAAACAAACAAACAAACAAATAGATAAATAAATAAGACATGCCTCTAGAAAATTAAAAAAAAAAAAAAAGAAAACAAGTTTCTGGGTTTTATTGATGGTTAAGAAAAAAAGTTTTCTTACTCGCACAGAATTTCAAAGAGGGACTCGGGAGCATCTGCTAAGATCACTTCAGGTCCTCTTTCCTGGACGGAGCAGACACTGGTGCCCAGAAGCGTGCACTGGCCTTACTTCCAGGTACCCCCCCGTGTGCAAGAGAAAAGAAGACAGGAAAGAAGCCAAGGAGGTGAGGAGGAAGACAAGAGGACGGGAAAGGAAACGGAGGAAGGGAGGAGGAGGAAATCGCAGGAGAAAAAGGAGGATGTGAGGAAACGGGAGGTTACGATGGCAATTGGTGTGCCTCAAACCATGAAAGAAGAGGCGGAGGCGCTGCCATCATGGAAGCTAGAGCAGAAGCAGCTGGTCCACGCAGGCAGTGCGTGACATTTACGTTTTCCAAAAATCAATAAAGGACATCAAAGTTAAATAGTAACTGAAAGCTTTCCGGTTCCGGCCAGAAGGTATGTGACCTGAGAAAGTGCCACAGCAGTAAACATAGGCAACAAGGCTTCAGTGTCTAATCGCCAGGCCTTTTTCATCTCTTATGTCATTTAATTCTAATTCCAGTTCTGCGAGATGTGTATCCTTAGGCCCATTTTAAGAACTAAGACACTTAGGTTTAGGGAGGGTAGGTAACTGGCCTAAGTTTTCCTATGTGGAAATGAGGCCAAGGTTCAAACCCTAGAAGACTTCACGCATCTGATCTCCACCCCATCTTCATTAATCCATCCACCACCCACCCACTCACCCACCCATCCCTCCATCCTCTCAACAGACCTTTACCAACTAGGAACTATCTCGCCACTGGAAGTACCTGGTGTAGGAAAAAGACACATCCCTTGCTCTTCGGAGCTATCATCTAAGAAACGCAGTCAATAAACAAGTCAGTCAATATCTAATTATAAAATTTGACAAGTACTATGAATAAAATGTTCGGAGAGCAGTAATAAAATCAAGCATGGCATCACTAAATTAGCAAGGTTGGGGAGGTTCGGCTGGGCCCTAACAGGTGGGCAGAAGCAGCCGGGGGGACAGGGCAGGACTCACGGGGAGGGGCAGGCGCCCAGGCGCGGGGGCTGTGAGTCAGGGCCTGCAGCAGGGCGGGTGGCAGGGCAGGAGGGGTCATCGCCTGGGGGCTGTTGCTGGCGAGGAGTTTAGGTTTTAAGTGTAGTGAGAAGGCAAAGAATGGTCTCCAGAAAGCCAGCGCTAGTGTTTCAGCATCACTGGCTCGCACGGGCACGAGGGGGAAGCGAGAGCAGGGCGGAGAGCCCAGGAAGGAGGCTCCGGCAAGATTCCAGGGGAGGGGCGGTGGCCGGGACGTGGCTGGCGGCCGTGGAGGGCAAGTGACCTGGGACACATCCTGGTGGTGGAACCGGAGGGGTGAAGGAGCGGGAGGTGCAAAGAATGGCTCTGGCCCTGGGCACTGCTCCTGGGTGTCACCGGATCGTTTTAGCATATTTCTTACATGGAAAAGGGACCTAGACCATGCATCTTTTATAAACAGTCTTGTATCAAAATCTCAGCTTCCACACTCAAGCTCGACCCTCCAGGGGAGGCCCCTGCTGGCGGCGGCCCAGGGGGAGGCGCACCTCCAGGCGGGTCCAGCAAATACTGAGCAGCCACAACGCAGCCTCGTGCTTTCCACACGACACACAGGCGCGCTCCCAGTTTCACTGTGAGGCGCAAATAAAGTAAGTTCTAGTGAGTCCTGGCGTGTGGCAGGAAGTCAGTGCACCTTCAGTTCCTGCCTCCCTGCCTCTTCCCGTGACAGCGACAAGGAGGCCGCCGGCAGGCCCGCAGGCGAGCGGGCTGACACGCGAGCGTGGCCGTGGGCTCTGTTTCATGTAACCGGGACACGCTGGAGAAAGGGCAGTAGCCCCCGTCCTAAAGGGCACCCTTACCCCCTGACTAGACGGGGTGTCAGATAAAATACAGGACACCCCGTTAAATTTGGATTTCGGATGGCAAATAATATATGGGACATCCTTATCCTCAAGGGTTTTCATGGTTTACTGAAGTTCATCTTCAACTGAGCACCCTCTACTTTATTTAGTAAATGTGGCAACCCTAGGACTAGGCAAGTCTCTACCTTGATAAGGAATAAACTTGCCTCAAGATTTCACCCTTCACGGTCCCTTGGGACGATCCAATTCCTCTCTGTACTGGGGGCTGCATCTCTCACCCTCGTGGGTCAGCACTTCTTTCTCGGCATGTTTCTTGCCACTCTTATTAACAAATACATGGCTGTCCAGAGTCGACCGAGCAGCGCTGTATATCACAGTTTTTTTTTTTTTTAAGCAAATGTTTTATTTTTTTTTTAAAGATTTTTTTTTTAATAGAGGCATGTTTTTCTTTCTTTATTTGTTTGTTTGTTTGTTTTGTTTATACGTGCACTGGGTACAGTCAGAAGCGCGGGAGGGTGAGAAATTCACCAGAGCCAGAGCGGGGAGCAGAACAGGCGGAAGGACCGAAGGGAGGAGAGCAGCGGGCGGCAGGAGAGGTCTGCGCGCCATATGGGACCCTCCTCCGGTGGCCAGGGAGCAGCCGGGGATCGAACCGGCGCCGCAGAGGCCGCGGGCAGCTTCGCAACCCAGCGCTCTACCGCTGCGCCACCGGGGAGGCCCTGTATACCACAGTTTTACTTAGTGGTTGTAACAGGTGCTAGCGCACGTGCACACAGGCTACATTAGTCTTTAAAAGGGGATTATTGGGGCCTCGCCGGTGGCTCAGCGGTTGAGCGCTGGGTTGGAAGCTGCCCGCAGCCTCTGCAGCGCCAGTTCGATCCCTGGCTGCTCCCCGGCCACCGGAGGAGGGTCCCACATGGTGCACAGAACCCCCTGCCACCCACCGCCCCCCCCAGCAGTCTGCCTCGGTCCCCCTGCCTGCTCTGCTCACCGCCCTGGTGAATTCTCTCACGCCTCTGACTGCACCCAGTGCTGAATAAATAAATAAAATGAAAGAAATATTTTTTTTAAAAAAGGGGATTATCGTCAAGAAAACATTTTGAGTTTTCTAGGACCAGTGATTTCAATTTGCAGCCCTATTAATGAAAGTTCTTTAGATATTATAGGAGTAGAATTGGTTATTAAATAGACCAAAAGAAGAGCTTTGAGTTCATTCGATAATTGCTGGCTATCAAAAGTTAAGAGTTGGAAATCCTTGAAATCCAACTACATGAAAAAGAACCAAGAAACTTGCGGCCATAACGTCATCTATCTGCATACAGGCAGGAGCCTCCATTTCTGCTACTCTTTGTTATTCCACAACAAGATAAGGAGCTTGGTCCAGAATGAAAATCAACACATCTAGAACATTGTTATTAAAAGATCATCACTTGGGCTAAACAAAGTATTTAATAGTTAACTGGCATTCTCTGCAAGCTCATTTTCTGCTTATGGCCTGGTAACAAAACACTGACAGGCAGTGCCAGTCTGGGGCCATGTCTTGAGTAGCAGGGATGCAGAAGACTCCACAATTGTATACATCATAAATACGAAGTCATAAATGCAACCACCTTCCTTCTGACCATTTTGCAAACAAAGACCCTCTTATTCCCTTGCAATAAAAGGCACAATACTTTCTCCATTCTAACACTCTAAGTGAATATCTACCAAAAACAACAGCTGCCCCAGGTTAGAAGGAAGAGGGAGTGTGCTTACTCTTCTTGCCGTAAGTCATTCACGCTGCGGTCCAGAGAGATCATGTCACTTGCCACCATGTTAAATCCAAACTCTTTAATGCTGGCTTGAACTGCATGTTTGAAATCTGGTCCCAAAACCAAAGGCTTGGCTTTCTCTCCAGGGCCTCCAACTACTCCTTGAGGCTCAAGTTCTTTGGGTTCAAAGTTACCAAGGACCCCTGGGCGTAGCACAGGATCACGGTAGGTGAAAGTCTGAGGCTTAAATGTGAGATACTGCCTCTGCATTACGTCTTTCTGGTTCTCTCCTCCAGCGTGGCGCTCCTGTTCATTTTTGGCCTTGTTTTTTCTTCTAATAGACTCTAAGTCCACTTCTACTCCTTCAACATGAGGCCATGGCACCACAGGTTTGAATCTGTCCTCCCCGGGAGCTAGTCCATGGCCTCCACGGTTAGGCACGGGGTTATCGACATCTCTCTCTTCCTATACAAAAGGGAGGGACACACAATGAGTACATGAAGCAAACCACAGCAGAGTTTATGACACCAATTTTCACGGTTAAGAAAAGGCTGAGGCAACAATAAAATGGTTTGAAACGTGAAAGAAATAGGCCATTAGTCAGGACGTCTCACTAGAAGTTATCTTTGAGGGGCAGTGGGGCTGAGGGACAGAGGGACACACCAAGAAATAGGCTATTTCCTCGTCTTACCATTCCAAAGAATGAATGGATGCAATTTTACTTTTCCCCTTATAAACTTAACTCTCTCTTAAAGACCTCTTAATAGAACATATTGCTAAGAGTTAGAACAATGAGGTTCTAGGACTTCTGGCTAAAATGGATACCTCACAAGGCCTGTCCACGCAATGTGTTTTCCCAGTGGCCTTGTGGATGGTAAATATAACTTTCATCAGTAAAACTGCCATATGGTGGCAGCGGAATTAGACATCACCCATCACTAAGCTGGCTCTGTGCCCCCTCATGGCAGAGAAACAAGGTGGGGAGATGCACTCGACAGCCCTAACTTGGTATTTTCTATTTGAGATTTTAGCTGAATTCAGATTAAAAAAAATAAAAAAGCGCTCTGGTCACTATAGCCAAAATAACTGGGGCTTTTTAACCGCACTCTATAACCTAGTTTGCCCAGTTCCGGAGGCAGCCCAGGTAAAATCAGATTCTGCTTCCCTCTTTGGTTTGGCCCCTCTCACCTATGCAGATCTTTCCCATGGAGATATGGGGTGCTTTTGCTTTTGCAGTATGATGTTAAGTTTTTGCTAAACCAGTGCCATTCTTTGCCCAAAGCAGTTTTTCTGCATATTAGCATCACCTTGGTGGCTTTAAAAAATACTGATGTCTGTGTCCCACCCCAGACATTTTGATTTAATTGGTTTGGGCATTCAGATTTTTAAAAGCTTCCCAGATGATTTTAATATGCACCCAAGCTTGAGAACCTCTACAGGGAGAGCGGCTAGCTATAATTAGACCAGGGATTATAGCGCGTGCACAGCTGGGGAAGAGGCAAAGGGAACCAGCCGCCCTCCTCTCCACACCGAGACCATGTGATTCCGTGGTGGGTTTCATAATAGAATGAGGACCATCTGACCGGAAGTTTTCTACAGCATTAGAGTTTTCTTAAAAGGTGAGGTTTAAAACTTTGTTTTTAAGAGTACAGAAGTAACTAAAATGAGAGTCAGACAAAGACAAGCTGAAAAACTAACCCTTGAAAGCCGACCACAGAGCTGAAGCACCACGCAGGGGTGAGGGGTGAGGGGTAAGGCAAGAGAAGGAAGCCCAGCGGACTGAGGGTGATTTGGTGGTGGGTGCACGTCTGTAGTGCTACCTGATGGGAGAATCCAAATATTACCTCAATTAAAAGATAACTAATTAATTAAAAACAATTAAAAAAGAGTACAGAAGACTTGATACACTGGTAGTTTATTCAGAGACAAAGTTCTCTACAGAAAGTCAGTTCATTCAGATGTAAATTTAGTTGATGTTGAAGCTTTGGTTAAGTACTGGTGGGGACTGATTTTAGAGAGGTCAACATTTTTTTGATTAAGAATTTTTTAAAATTTCATCTTTGCTATTCATCTGTTTGTTCAGGTGCTATCTGCACACGATACACAATTCAGAGGGCCCCAGAGGGCAGAGAGTGAAAGGTAAGTTTCCTTGCCTGCCCTTCTGCAGAGGTGATCACCATCATAAGCTTCTTGTGAATCTTTACAGAGACCTCAAATGCACCCAGGCAGACAGAACAAAGAGGAGGATTTTTTTTTTTTTGCACATGGGACAGACTTTAATTGAATCATCAGTTAGAACAGGAACCCCCAAGATGTTACAACCTCTTCAAAGGTGAATCCAAAGAACATACGAATATGTAAGCATCGAGACTACTGCAAAGAATCTGCAAACTGATGCAAAATACAGAAAATTAGTCAACAATCTGGTCAATAAACAACTGCATCTCCACTGCAACAACTCCCATTTCAGTGGACAAGGATCCTTTGCGTTACTATCAGCTTTCTATGCTTTACAGGATTATAACCTAGCTCATCCTCAACAAAAGGTGAGATAACCCAGGGAGCTGAGTCAAAGAGCGGACCCAGTGGACATTCTGGTCCATTTCAAAGTTTTCACACAATTCCTCCTGTCGGGTAAATGCAATTAATTAGGCTTTTTACGCCACTAGCCTCTGTGGCTACACCCAAATGAATGGGTGTAACGGTGTTTCAACAAATCTTGATTTACAAAGTGTAGGGGAAATGAAGATTGCTCAGGCTTTTGCGCCACTGGCCTCTGTGGCTACCACCTGTGGCCCTGAATGCAGGAGGCGCTCGGGATTGTGGGCTCGGGGCATGCAGGCCTGATGGTGGACGCCTGGACTATGGTGTGGGCACACCTGACCCGGGTCACTGTGCATATATAGGCGGCGGCAGAGGCCTGAGCAGCGGAGTGCAGTGGAGAGACAGCAGAGCCACGGCCACGAAAGGAAGGGCCTCAAGACAATGTCAGAGAGAGCCCAGAGAGGCCTGAGGGGGGCCGGGAGGCTGGGAGGCCCCCTGGCTTCCTTTGCCCTCTCTGCCCCCCTGCCTGCCTGCACTACACAAAGTAGTGGGCTGGGTTTGGCCTCTGAACCTGAACTAGACTGTAAGTTCCGAGGAAGGGTGAGGGCCATCATCTGGGTGGTGCTTATCCCGGCACATATCTCCCCAGTATATGCAGACTGAGCAAATGAATGAATCCTATAACGTCTGCCTCGGTTATGAGAGAGGCATTGAGAACAAAGTGGAAAGAAAAGAGACTATGGAATGGGAAAGACAGTCTTGGATCAGATAGAACCTTCCGGCAATACTTTATGAATTCAGCAAGAAAACAGCACATAACTTTGTATTCTCTGCACAGTATTGTGCTCAATAATGCTATATAATAGTCACCAGAAAAATTGAATTTGCTCACTTCTCAAAGACTGTATGTCATTAAATCCGAAGGCAAAACCAAATATAAGAATTGTCTGTCTAACCCCAAGTCAATTAAGAATCATGTCAAATCTCAGTGTTATAGGATTCAAAGGATAGTATAAGGCAGCGTAACACACGTCCCCCCGAGAGGAAAATTACATACGGCTGCTTCCTGAGATGGATGAGAATCAGCAGATGCCTCTGTGACTCACTGGTACTATGATACCTTCATAAACACCAGCTGATTTACTGTAGAGTCGAAATCAATGAATCACTGTTGTCAGAAAGGGAAAGGAGAACCGGCAGCTAATCTTCTAGAGTCGCTGTGTTCATAAAGGTGAAAATGTACTGAGAAATACAATCACTAACCACCAGATGGTAATATGGGCTCATCAGAAATCAGGGCAGACTATTCAGTTCACACTTGACAAATCACAAAGTTCTCCCTTCGCCCCCAAATTCTCCTTCTCTATGATGTTTTTCCAAGATGGCTATGCCTGGGTAGAAAAGGTATGAATACAACGGGATTCAGAAAAATGGTCTTTAGAGCAAGCGAAAGCAATATAGTTTTCTTAGATTTGAAGTTCTAGGTGTGCTCCAGAGGGCTCAGCCCTACTGGTGAGCTCAGGCAGTCACATCTCTTGAGAAATTACCACTTCGCTTTACGAAGTGGCCACTGCTGACAGCACGTACTCTGGTTATCACTCTGCATGAGCCACAGAACTAAAAAACAAGTCAAATTTAATTCTGTGGTTCAAAAACCCTGATTAAAAACAGCTTTAATTAGAAAAGCACTTCAGCATCCTTTGTCTAGCTGCTCTTTACTCACCTGAAGGAGCAGAAGCAGCAGGGCCAAGAGAGCAGGGAGGGAGGTGGTAAAAATAAAGTGGCCCCGAGTTCAGAGGAAATAGGATGTGCCTGCAGGCCCCAGCACGTGGCAGGATGTGAGTGGGATTGTGGGCGCTCCAGCCTCAGTCCCCTCGTTCTCGCAGGTTGGCCAGCCCTGGATCCGCAAGGGATCCGTCCTGGTGGGCTCTCTGTGCTGCTGCTCCACTCTGTGCTGGGACTCCCCATTCTGTGCTGTGCTGGTGATCCCCACTCTGCTGGGGTTCCCCACTCTGTTCTGCCGCTCCCCACTCTGTGCTGCTGCTCCCCACTCTGGGCAGCCCCGCTGCTCTCAGAGCACTGAGAGTTGACTGCACTGGGGAGACAGTGGGCCTGTTGGGCAGGGCTGGAGGAGCAGGGGCCAAGTAATTACTCTGTGCTTAATCAGGGATTAAAACGGCTGGACCTTAGACTATAAACTGAGCTGAATAACTAGGGTGCCACCCCTTGTGGAAAAGGATCTTGTTCCAAATGCAGCTTAAGACCAATACATTAGGAAGAGATTTAAGGCAGTGGCAATGCTTCTGCTGGCAACCCAGGCAGGAGGATGGAGAAGGGTGTGGCTTATCAGTAAGAAGAAGCTGACAAGATGACAAAGGAGCTACCTGCTGAAAGAAGGCCCCGCACAGGAGGCATTCCTGTTCTAGCAGGCCAGGTACGAACCAGGGGGCAGCGACGTGAACACAGTCACTGTTCTACCCCGAACAGTGCAACTCCAGCTCCGCCCCAGCGAGGTAGGGCAACCACCAGGCAGAGGCTGAGCACCAGCAGCAAAGCAGACGCCCTCGAAACTCCACTGTGGACAGCGGCCGATCGTACAATAGCTAATGATGTACTCCTCTTATTTTCTCTCCAACTTTATAACATGCCATGGAAACCAGTTACAAACGGGTCGGTGCTGCAGCTGTAACCACGTACTGGTAACATTTCACCAGGCTGATGAAGGGGAATTTTGAGTCAATGAAATGCCATCTCTCCTTAACCCACTCGGTAAAACAGAAAGTACAGTATAAATACAGATCTATCTGGAATTACTGTGAATAATGCTGAAATTAATAGGTAGCTTCCTAAAAAGTTGGCTATATTGCATTTTTTAATATTTAGTTAACTTAATTAAAGGGAGATTTTTCATATAAAAGAGC